AAAAAAAAAAATAAAAATAAAATTTTAATTAATTAATATAATTAGAATTAAAGTACTAAATTCTTCAAAACTATATTTGAATACAATAGTCAATTAATTTACTAATATAATATCTAAAAAATATAAAACCAAAAGAATAAAAGTGATTTATATAAACTTATGTAAAGTAATTTAGATTAGTATAACTATGGGCAAAAGGTTAGATAAAAAAATTGATAGAGCTTAGATTATCATAATGAATGTAGTTGACATGGAGTTAGTAATAAAATCAACTTAGTTGAGTAAGGCCGTCCTCAAGCATCTCTCTCAATATAATTAGCTAGTGAGCTCAAATAGCCATGTTTGGCTACAAGTCACCACGGCAATAATGTTATATTGATTCATTAATATTAATTAAAGCGATATCGAAATATAGTGAAGCATTAATATTATTTAATAAAATATATACATGACATATAAAAAATTATTTTTTATTCTTGGGAACACTAACCCTGAGCATCTTTTATTTGTTGAGTTTTTAGAATGGAGTAGGATAATAATTTTTTGGAAACGATGGAGAATCCATATTATGAAAAAAATAATAACAATAAAATGAAAGTGTATTTGAGCTTGAGCAATCTCATTGACTGCTCTGTCAATGATAAACTTTAACCAATCAGCCAGCTTAATGAAAAAAAATTGGTGGTCGCAACTCTAGGTTTTTTAACCTAAATGATGACCATGATTATTTTTCGACTAATCAAATCGTTCAGCTAACTAATTGAGACAGACACTTAAAAATGGTCTAAGTTTTTAAAAACTAACTTAATCAAGTCAGAGTTAATTTAGGCACATATGTATAGATAGTATCTGCAGAATTTTGGTTGTATAGCTAACTTCCCATAAGTAACTGTTCTAGCGTTATCAACCTAAAATATTTTGCAGGCTAATCAGATTTCAAAATCACATGATACACAGAAAAAATGAACAAATCGGTCATAACTCAACATTTTATCTATGAAAAATCTTCGCGCATTACAAAAAAGTTTTTCTTGTGATATTTTGGTGTTAAAACAACTCTTCATAACCTAAATTAGCAGTAAAACCTAACGCTAATCTAATAGTGATATTTTTTCAGTAAATTTTTTAGGGTGGTAACGCTTGGACCGTTTATATAAGTATATATGATTGACCTGAATTATACTTAATTTTATAATGCTAGCTAAACGACTTAAATGATAGAGTGATATACCAAGGAGAATATGACAAGTTTCTTGTGCAGAGATATCACGCTCTGCAATGCTATGTAGCAACAATTTTTGAATTGGTGCAAGTATTAGTTCATCATGTCTACTATTTCAAAGTATTTGAGCAGAGAGAAACATGCTTTACAAGAGACCATGATCGAAAATGCCAAAGAAAGGTAACAGAATCAGCAAACAATATGAAGCATGACTCACATGTGATCAAGAGCGAAAGCGACAAAAAGCAGCAACGCAAAAAAGCAGAGAACATGATGAAATAGAAATTAGTAGCAAAAATAGTGTTAATATTTAGCAAAGTCAAGAACAAAAACAAACTGAAGCTGTAGTATATATTAATTCTTCTCTGGGCATTAATACTAGCGAGTTAGAACAAGACCTTTGGAGAAAATTTCATGAAAAAATGTATGAACTCAAATGTACCTTTTGTCCCATATGCAATAAAAGTTTTCCAGATATTGTGCTGGTCATAGGAAGCTTTTGCCGATGTGCTGCTGAAAAGACTGCTCCAAAAAAATCTTCTGCAGAGAACAATATGGATCCAGAAAAAATTTCTGAAAAACTTCAAGGACTCACAGAAGTTGAAGAAATGTTAATCTCTCAGGTTTTACCATAATGTCAGTATACCGACTTCATGGTGGACAATACAGATACTGTGGAAATATAATCAACTTCCCCCAGGATGTATAGGGGTTCATTACTCACCTTTCTTGGTATTCATCATTGGTGAATGTGCTTATTGTGTATTGACAATCCTTAAATTATAATGGAGTATTTAAAGATTTTTATGTCTGATGCTCTAAAGTTACTTATGCATTATACTGGTTAAAAGAAAATAATCAGTACTATTTAAATATTGTTATTGACAACAATGTTTTTCAATCATTACTAGAAGATGGTTATATTGATAGCCAACTTCTACAGTTTCAAAGTGATCAGAATTCAGAAATAGATGATGATGACACGATCACTCGTACCTTTGTCTCTTCTCTTCCTTCAACATATCATGAGAATGTTGCAATTAATAATATACTAAATTGTTTAAGCAATGAAAATTTTTTAATATTATGGCCAACAATTGATAGTAGCCTGATTAATGAATTCCAAACTCCAGGATACATCACATTTGCATTTTCAACTTTGTATCCAACTGTCAATGCTAATCTTCATGCTGAACAGATAAAGGATATCAAACCAGCGGAGTATTTTAAACACTTACTTCAATATAAAGATGGAAGATTTGCATTGCACAATCATTGGAGATACTTTGTGCTTAATAGTCAAATGAGATAGCGTGTATTACAAGAAGAAAGTATATATGTTAGACAGAATCTGAATGATGAACAGCTCACTGTTGATTATATACAAAATATGATTTCAGAAGATGATACAAACATATCCAAATAAATTATACAATTCGGCGAAGGTTTATATAGATCACAGCAGTTTTGGATAGCACGGAGTTGTGAGCTAGCAGATATGATAAAACAGATAGGTTCACAAGGATTAGTATTTTTTACATTTAGTGCCACTAACTTATACTGATCTGGACTTCATAAGCTTATAAGTTTAGGTGAAAATTATGAAAAAGATACAGAAAGATCAGAGCAACGTTGTCAAAACATAATCAATTATCTTTATATTGTTGCCTAGTTTTTCATAAGTAATTTAAGGCCTTTTTTGATATACTTAAACAGCAATGAGATCTAGAAGATTGATGGTACAGATTTGAGTGGCAATATCGTGGCAGTGTTCACTTGCATAAAATCAGAAAAAAATACAATCCACCCTTGACCAATTGGAAGCAAATGAAAGAAAATGAAAATATGATGAATGATGTGATGCAATATCTTAATAATATAGTTACTACAATAAATTCAGGTCTTAATGCACCAATATCTACACAATACCCATGTCAAAAACGTAATGATAAGATTCGTGATGATATGCAAGACTACTTGATCTGATAAATAAAGTACAGAGACATACCCAATATAGTGCTTCATATTGTCTGCATATTAATCGGGCTGGGCAACAGGTTTGTAGATATGGGTATCCAAAGAAGAATAGCGAAAGTACTTTTTTGTGCAATTATAAGTGCAACCAACTAGAGCTCATTACTGCAAGAAATGATCCATATATAAATCTGCATAGTCGGCTTCAATTACAGGGGTAGTAAGCCAATATAGATTTGAAGCCAGTACTTAGCATCTATGCAGCATTACAATATATTGCTAAGTATGCAAGTAAAGCAGAGCCACATTCTGCTACCTTTTTAGAAATATTAAAGCAAATACTTTGAAATAGTAGACATGATGAACTAATACTTGCACCAATTCAAAAATTGTTGCTACATAGCATTGCAGAGCGTGATATCTCTGCACAAGAAACTTGTCATATTCTCCTTGGTATATCACTCTATCATTTAAGTCGTTTATTTGTCACTTTGAATCTCAATAAAAAAGCAATGCAATGGCTTTGCGGGACTGTTGGTAGTGAAGAAAACAAAGTTATTACTGTTAGAAATTCAGGATGGACAGACAAATAAATCACCTTTAAAAATCTATTAAGAGCGATCAGTAGAATTAGAAAATTTTTCATTATTTAATCTGTATTTAACATATAAATTTATTAAAAATTGCTAGAAAAGATGTGAATGTGAAATATAGTATATATCTGGCCACACCCGTCAAATTTGCGCAATGGCCCCCAGTGGGAGGAATTTTGCTATATAAAAGTTTTCCTTCACATTCGTTATCGAGATCTCCAACAATTAACAAAAAATAAACCAATATTATGAACTTCTTTATATAAGCATCATCTTGAGGAGATAAATTCTGATCTATCTGATCTTATTGGTCAAGCTGTAGATAATAAAGAAAGTGAGATTGATGATGATGACGACAATAATAAAATGATAGAAAATGACAAACAAGAATACTGTGCTGAATAGATACTTCTGGCAGAAATGAGACCGAATGCAACTATTGATGATTCTTCAGCTATTGGATCGTATAGCATAGATATAAATTATAATTGGGTTAGTAATAGTAGATATCTATATTCGAATATTGATATTATGAATACTAGCACTTTGTATAACAAGCTTCTAGCAACGCTAGAGCAGAAAACAATGAGAATTTAGTTTTTGAAAATATAGACTATGAAATATTAAACAAAAAGCAGAAAATAGTACTAAATCAAATAGAATCACATTACTGTAATGTCCTTGAAGAGTATCAGGTTGATCCATTAAGAATAATCACAATGGAAACTGCCAGTACTAGAAAATTGTACCTTATCAAAACAATTCAAACATTATTGAATACAATTGCTGAAGCAGAAGTTAATTTACCATTACTTGTGCTCGCTTCTACAGGAGTTGCAGTATTTAATATTAATGGATTAACAATTAATTTGGCACTTTCAATTCCCATATATACTAAAAATTTTGACATAGGTGTGAAAAGTTAAATTAGTTACAAAAAAGATTACAGAATATGAAGTATATAATTTTAGACGAGAAAAGCATGGTGGGGTGCAGAATAATCACTTTAATCAATATGCGGCTATGTCAGACCTTTTCTAAATATAGAAATAAACTATTTGGTAGTTGATCCATTATTATATTTGGAGATTTTGGACAACTCCTTCCTGTTCTAGATCTTTTTATATATGCAATCAATACATTACAAGACCTAGTATCTAATGATGGTCTTGTAGCATATACTCAATTTAAAGAAGTATACAAACTTAATGTTATTAAACGTCAATCAAAAGAATCCGAAAGACAAAGGATATTCAGAGATATTCTTTTACAGTTACATAATGATAAGTCGACCTTATCAGATTGGGAAACACTAACCTCACGATTTGAAGATAAAATAACTAGCGTGGAAAGGCAACAATTTTTAGAGGCTATTTTTATATCACCAAAGTGGTCTGATGTTGATAGGATTAATTTAAATAAACTTATGTCTCTGAACTATCCTGTTGCTAAAATACTTGCTGTACATACTGGTGGTCCTGAAGCAAAGAGAGTAGACTCAGATGTGGTGATGGGTTTAGAAGCACAGCTATTATTAGCAAAAGGTTTATGTATAATACTAATAGCAAACTTATAAACAAGAGTAGGTTTAGTAAATGGTGCAATTGAAATAGTTCAAGATATTCTGTACAATGAACATAGACTGCTTTATTTTCTTGTGGCTGTTCTGATTTCCTTTAAAAGATATAATGGGTCCACTATTACTATAATAGAAGATACAGAAGTAGTTCCAATTGCACCTATTCGATATACACGGGAGGTAAAAATAGGTTGATATGCTTATGATTGCAGATTTTTATTTGTCTTGCATAGGCTATTACAGTATATAAGAGTCAAGGTCTCACACTTTCAAAAGCTGTAATAGACCTTGGGAATAAAGAATTTGCAGCGGACTTTTCTTTGTAGCAGTATCTTGGGTTCGTAGCATGAATGATCTGTTTTCAAGTCATTTAATTTTGAAAGGTTGCAACATATCAAAAATTGCAGAAGAATCCAGAAAAGAAAAGACGAAGAAAAATGGCTAATCTCTATGATAGCATGAAAGGAATGATTTAATAAAGCATAAAGCATAAATTTAAAATTAGTATATACATTTGATGTATTATTACAAGTAAAAGTTTTGATTCGTTTTTTGCAAAAGCATACTATATTTTTGTATTCTTGTGTACTATATCAAACATAGCAGTTTTAATTTTGATTGGTTAATCACCAAATGTATTGTCACATATTATACTGCATATATCATTTGACTTTAAACGAATTGACAGCCATGAAAATAGCAAAGGATTCAACACAAAGATTCTGAAACTACACTTTTTATTCTACCTACATACAGTAAAAAATAATTCGAAAAGCATACGAATAGTTCAGAAGCTATTGATAGTTTGCACTTTTTGTCATATAGGTTAAGGTATTTCAACAATCAGCAAGGTAATTCAATAATCGGCAAGATAATTCAACAATCGGCAAGGTAATTCAATAATCGGCAAGATATTTCAATATTCGGCAAGCTAATTCGACAAGCAGCAAGGTAATTAAATATTCAGCAAGATAATTTGAACTTTTGGCTAGCTTTTTTTAAAACCTTGAACATAGCGATTCAAACAACAATACTTACAGTTAGTTTTTAACATTTACTGAATATAGGTTATTCGACTAAGTTTTAAAAAAATTACAATATAGTAGATATATTGTATGTGCAAGATATATATGAGCACTTTCTTTGTTCTATAGTTAATATTTGGTTTTTTATATTGTTCATACTTTCCTTGTACGTGTATTATTTTATGGATAGTTGATGTTTTTTTTTAATTTATATTCTTCGATATTTATTTTATTATTAAACTATATACATATTAGTTAGTAGATAATTTGGTTAACAATGATTATTTATTGTTATACAGTTTAAATTTAAAGTTGTTTTTTTTTATTAAGTTTAATCAGATATATCTATCTTGTTTAATAAATTTTAAATTTCTTATTTTTTTTATTTTGTAATATCACTAAGTGATTTATAAAAGGAGCCAATTAAAATTACATAATTGTGTATATCATATATCATTTGAGTGAACAGATAGAAAATTCAAATATACTTTATTGATATTTAATTATGAAATGTATCAAAAATATAACTAATGCATTGATGATCATAGAAATTAGAGGTCCTTCGCTACGCTCCAGACAATTGATAGATCAAAAATTACTAATTTTATTTTATTGTTTATTTTATTTGTTTTTTTTATTTGTTTTTTGAAAATATTTAATTTCCACTACAGGTAATTATCACCTGTAATTTTCAATACATAACAATAAGACCATTCTTAAGCACCTCTCTTAATGTGATTATATAGTGATGAAGATAATACACAAATACTATGATCAATTTAAATAATAATTGTGATCAGTACTTGAGCAACCTATATTCTATTATTATCAATATATTTAAAAAGAAAAAATTAATTATCTATTCAATTGCTAAAACATTGGCTCCTTGAATGTTACTTCTAAGCCTTTAGTTACTAAACCTTAGCACTCAAACTCTTAGCTTCTAAAACTTTAGTACTAGCTATTCATAATACTCCTTTTACTAATTTTATAAATAATTTGATATCACAGCAACAGCAGCTTCTTGCTACTCAAATTTATATGAATTTCTTAGATAAAATAGTACTAAAATATACTAAAAATACTAAAATATAATTATCTTTTATTTAAATATAATTAATTGTAAAAATTTTTTTTAATATATCATTTTCATAGTCTTCTTTTATTAATTATCATAGTTAAAAAATTTACTACCCTTTGATTCTATATCTATTGACTCTATTTCAGCTATTACTTATGATTTATTATCTACTAATATTAATTTTAATATATCTTTTAGCAAATCAGCAAACTGATGAACTCTATCAGAAACTCGAATGCTTATTCATAAAGTAGAAAAGCATTAAAGAATACTACAATATATTAAGGATCTCAGAGAGAAAGGTTGAATCTGAGATATGATTGTTTCTAATATTCAAACCTCTAATATTGCAAGTTCAGTTTTAAGAGAATGTACAAAAATTTTAATTTAACGAAAATAGAATGTGCTTATACAGAAATATCATGATATTAAAGATAAAATCGCAAGTACCAATAAAGAAGCTATTCAGAATGATTAGGAGTTTTTCAATAATATGGATAAATATTTAAAAAAAATATCCAAACATTAATAGGAGCATTACAAGTAATTCAATCTACAGAATTAAATATAAAGTTTAAACAAATAATAAAGATCAAGATGAAGCTAAGATAAAAATTATATATTTATTATTAATTTAATTTTATTTTTATTTTATCTAATTTATAATTTTATAGGATAATAATAGAAAATGAAGAAACATACATCTTGAAGAAGAAAAGATAAATATAGAAGAACTTCAATTTTTTATTAAAGAACAAATAAAAACAATGATAGAACTTATAAAAAATCAATATATATATACATCTTAAACTCAACAAAATCAGCATAATGAATTAATAGATATTTTTAGACAATTGTTATTTAAATTTTAATTTACAATAATGTATTTGTCAACAATATGCTTGCAAATAATGTATTTGCAAATAATATATTTATAAAGAATTATATTTTTAATATTAATAAATCTTTTGATTTATGAGATCTGTTAAATATACTCACTCTTTTTTGAATATCTGCCATTTTTCTCTCATTTCATCTACCACCAGTACAGATTTATTATCACTATTTGTGCTATCATTTAACTTATTATCTTCTAAAGAATATAAATTGCCCATGTTAATTTAAAAGATGTATAATATACAACATGTGTGTATTATTCTAATAATTCATTTTATCTCAGTACAATATATTTACTTTAATAAAATTCACGGTTAATCTTTAATATAGGTAATCATTATATAATTATAATATATATAAATTAACTATTTTGAACTAATTTAGGTAATTTTATAAATTATTAGGGTTAGGGTTAAGGTTAGAATTTAAATTACCTCAAATTAATTAGATTTTATATATTATAATTTTGTAATAAAATTATATATACCTATCTATACTAAAGAAGGTCCAAATTCACTATTAACTTTTTAAATATCTAAATACATATTTAACAACTATTCATATTGACAAAAGAGCTTTATTAAAATATCTTTCTCAATATATTAAAGTGTAATAATTAGAGTATATTTTTATTAAGTAAGTTTATAGGGTATACTATATTAGAAATAATATAAATGCTATCTGGTACTCATTATTCAGGATTTGAAGAAATTTTATGATAAAGAGATAATTTATAACATATGTAAACATCATATACACTTCTTAAAATAGTAAAAATGTAGTTTATTAAAAATAAAATAATACTTTTTACTAACCCACTTCTCTAGCATATATATATATATAATGTTCTTTGTAGTCAACAACTACAAGAAAGTTAATAGAATAGAAATTTTTATAATTAATATAATATACACCTAGTACTCCTAGATCTGATCTGGGTCTAGTTCAGTCTAAGTCTAATTCAGGATCAGACCAGGCTCAGACTCTAAATTTTACTAATTTCAGACTTTAGACCAGTCTCAGACTCAATTATAGGTTTAGTTTAGGTCTGGTTTGAAGACTGCAAACTAGTTTGAGTTCGAATATAATTATATATATTTTTTAGTGCTCAATAATATATAGTTTATAGCCAACTAACTGTGTACAAAATCTTGGATCTTATTGGGCAGCATGATCTTGTAAAGATCTACAAGTTTTTAACTTGTAATGATCTGGTATATATATACATATATATATATGTATATTCTAAATAGACTTAAAGGTTTTTGATCTGAGAAATCAGAATATTTTAAATACAATTAAGAAAATTACATTTATATTACATACATATGTACAAGATTCTATTGCTATTGAGTTTTATATTAATATTTATGCTAATGCTAATGCTAACTTTTTTTAGTAATTAATTTAAATCACATCTAAAATTTAAAATATACAGGTTAGCTTTACTACTATTTATAATCGATTTGAGTAGCATTATTTATTATCAGGCATCCAAACTTAGTTCTGTAAACTGATCTAGGGATGGATGGACTCGGTTTAACAGAGATGTTATACTATAATCTGTTTTAAACTGATAAACTACAGTTAGTATTAAAACCGGGTTGAACCTGAAAAAACTGCTTTTAGTTTTAAGACCAGACTGGCTAGAACTAGCCCAAACTAGTTAATTCTTTAAGATTTTGAACTATTAAAAGTAAACCGGAACTAGACTGGTAAGACTATTAGAATCTCTACAGTTCAATCTGCTCTGGTCTCTGATAAGACTAGTTCATTAATATTTTAACTCTAACCTTGGTCCAATCTCAGTTCCAAAACAATTCTTAGTTGTATACAAATATTTTCTAACTAAGTCAAAGCTAGACAACCAAATATTTAATAACTCTGTGAAACAGAATACAAAGCATTAAAATATTTATCAATTTTGTTAATAAGTTTAGTTTATGACATGATGAACTTTTAAACTGAGGATTTAGTATAATCAGAGTTAGCTTTAATCATTTATTGTTTAGTAGAAACTTAACCCATATAATATTGGAGTGATCAATCATCTAATAGAATCAAATATATGTCAAGTCTCATTTATTTTTGTGCATATAGTGCTCTGCAAAATCAAATTAAAATTTGAATTTGAATCAAGTATTTGATCAAATTTTTTAAAAATTTGATCAAATATTTGATTCAAAATTTGATTTTGTGGAGTACTATTCATGATTTCAGAATTGTGAGTAGACTAATGATCTCAAAAGTAAATGTTCGCAATTTATAATGACTAGTTCATGGTTTTAATAGTAGTTGTACTGATAATTTCAACATGAATTCA